GAAGTGTGTGTGTGTGTGTGTGTGTGTGTGTGGTTACAGCTGAAGTGTGTGTGTGTGTGTGTGGGGGGGATTATAGCTGAAGTGTGTGTGTGTGTGTGTTTCAGAGGTCGTAAGCCGGGCTCAGGACGCAAGAACGGCGGCGCTGGAGCCAAAGGCAAAGACAAGAGACTCTCAGGCACTGAATCAGAGCAGGAGGTAAAGGAGTGCTGCTGTCTCCCACAATGCAATGCCATCTTTACCTTGAATCATTTCCTGGAATATAAGTCATGTTTATATCATCCGAAACATCCTGCAATTTATTTTGCAATGCAGTTAACATCAAGCGTGCAAACCCTGCTCAAAGCGTGTGTGCTCTTACACTATCATGTGTGTTGTTTTGTGTTCAGGATGATTCTGAGGACAGTGAGACAGACGGAGAGGAGGACGAGGACGCGTCTCGCACCAGCACAAACACACAGCCTGCAGCCTTCTTCCACAGGTACAGCACAAACCACCACACACCACCTGACCTGAGTTTAACTGCACTGTATATGCTTTGAATGGGTTTCATTTGTATCAGTGCACTCAAACGTATTTAAGGTTTATGACTGCCTATAAAGTGTCCGTGCATTTGAGTTTAATGCAAACTAATAAACATAATGTGATCGTATTTGTCAATCATACAGAAATGAAACGGGTCAGATCTCTCTAATGCATCGTGATTCTCTCTGGAGTCGAGTCTGAGCTCAGTTTTTAACAGCAGGTGGCGCTGTGTGCTTTAGAAACAGCCGTACTCTGCTTGATTCCTGCTCCTCACACACACACACCACTTCAGCCTAAAGTATCATTCATACAGTTCGAAGTGAACTACAAGAGTGCTCAGAGTGGGCTGCGTTTACATTAATCTCAAGCGCTCTTCTTCGTGAGCATTTAAGTGTGTCTAGCCTAGAGCGCCACCTGCTGTTGAACACTGAGCTCAGAATCCAGTCCAGAGAGAGTTGTGAGGCATTCGGAAAATCAAAGTTGCACTACTATTTGCATGGGTTTGTTTTTATCAAGTAAACATATTTTCAGATGCATTTATCCAAATAGCTTAGAATCAGCCTGAATCTTTATCGGCTTGATTCCTGCTCCTCACACACACACACCACTTCAGCCTAAAGTAATCATTCATACAGTTCGAAGTGAACTACAAGAGTGCTCAGAGTGGGCTGCGTTTACATTAATCTCAAGCGCTCTTCTTCGTGAGCATTTAAGTGTGTCTAGCCTAGAGCGCCACCTGCTGTTGAACACTGAGCTCAGAATCCAGTCCAGAGAGAGTTGTGAGGCATTCGGAAAATCAAAGTTGCACTACTATTTGCATGGGTTTGTTTTTATCAAGTAAACATATTTTCAGATGCATTTATCCAAATAGCTTAGAATCAGCCTGAATCTTTTGATAAATCAGTAAATTTATTCGTTTAAAAATATGAGCATGGTTATTTTAGTCTCATTGAGATACTATTATAGTTCTTATTAATGTTTTAATAATCAAATTAAAATCTTATTAATTTCCTGTTTTCATGTTAATTTTAAAGTTTTCATGATTTTGTTGTGTTTTTGTAAGTTTTATTAGTTGTTTTTATATATACATAGCTTTTATAAAGTTGACTGCAGTTTGTTATTTTAGAACATTAAGTTAAACTAAAAGAAAATTAGATATTGTGCCTTGGTAAGTCGCTGAAATAAGTGTTTTATATTTTTATTTTATTGATTTTTATGTCAGTTAATTATTTTATTTCAAGTAGTGATGATTTTAGTGTTAGTTAACTATGACATTCAGTTTGTTCAAACGTGAGAATGAAACGAATTGGATTTATTGATGGTAAATGTAAAGCGCATTCAGTTTATTAGCACCGTTACAGAAGTCTGACCCGTTTCATTTATATATGACTGACGGATAGGATCACAGTAGGTTTATTAGTTTACATTAAACTCTGTAAACCAAATGCATGGACAATTTATATGCAATTCAAATACATATATCTTAACTTTATACCGAAATATTTGAGTGTTTCAAGTAAAAACTGAAACCATTAAAAATGTTAATTGAAGTAAACTATGTCTGTCTGTGTGTGTGTGTGTGTCGGTCTATCTATGTGTGTGTGTGTCGGTCTGTCTGTCTGTGTGAGTGTGTGTGTGTGTGCGCGTGTGTGTGTGTGCGTGTGTCTGTCTGTGCATGCGTGTGTGTGTGTGTGTGTCTGTGCATGCGTGTGTGTGTCGGTGTGTGTGTGTGTGTGTGTGTGTGGGTCTGTCTGTGTGTGTGTGTGTGGGTGTGTCTGTGTGTGTGTGTGTGTGTGTCTGTGCATGCGTGTGTGTGTCGGTGTGTGTGTGTGTGTGTGTGTGTGGGTCTGTCTGTGTGTGTGTGTGTGTGTGTGTGTCGGTCTGTCTGTCTGTGTGAGTGTGTGTGTGTGTGTGCGCGTGTGTGTGTGTGCGTGTGTCTGTCTGTGCATGCGTGTGTGTGTGTGTGTGTCTGTGCATGCGTGTGTGTGTCGGTGTGTGTGTGTGTGTGTGTGTGTGTGTGTGTCTGTGTGTGTATTAGTTGTTTTTATATATACATAGCTTTTATAAAGTTGACTGCAGTTTGTTATTTTAGAACATTAAGTTAAACTAAAAGAAAATTAGATATTGTGCCTTGGTAAGTCGCTGAAATAAGTGTTTTATATTTTTATTTTATTGATTTTTATGTCAGTTAATTATTTTATTTCAAGTAGTGATGATTTTAGTGTTAGTTAACTATGACATTCAGTTTGTTCAAACGTGAGAATGAAACGAATTGGATTTATTGATGGTAAATGTAAAGCGCATTCAGTTTATTAGCACCGTTACAGAAGTCTGACCCGTTTCATTTATATATGACTGACGGATAGGATCACAGTAGGTTTATTAGTTTACATTAAACTCTGTAAACCAAATGCATGGACAATTTATATGCAATTCAAATACATATATCTTAACTTTATACCGAAATATTTGAGTGTTTCAAGTAAAAACTGAAACCATTAAAAATGTTAATTGAAGTAAACTATGTCTGTCTGTGTGTGTGTGTGTGTGTGTGTGTGTCGGTCTATCTGTGTGTGTGTGTGTCGGTCTGTCTGTCTGTGTGAGTGTGTGTGTGTGTGTGCGCGTGTGTGTGTGTGCGTGTGTCTGTCT